TAACAGTAATGATAACAATAATAATAACAACATCTATAATAAAAACAATAATAATATCATTGATAACAAAAACGAAACCCATTATGATAACAACAATCCAAAAACAGTAGCAAATGAACAAAAATAAATAAATAAATAAAAATATCAACAACTAATGACACGACGACCAAAAAAAACAACAAAAATATAGCAAATGAACAAAAAAAAAAGAAAATAAAACAAATATGAACAACTAATGACACGAAGATCAAAAAACAACAAAAATATAGCAAATGAACAAAAAAAAAAAAAAAAACCAAAAAAAAAAAAATAATAAATCAATCAACAACTAATGACACGACGACCTTTTTAAAAAAACAACAAAAAATTTCAAAAAATAGTCCTTCGAAAATCTACGGTACGGCCCGCCCTCTTTCAACACGTGGGAAACCCGGGCCCCGGTAACGAAGCTTATGTCGAAGAGCAAAAAGCACTCGTGACATCTCGGTCTGGTTTGCCCCTTTCCCTTTCGGTGAGGGAAGGGGAGAAGAAAGAGGGGAAGAAAGGGGAAGGGGAAGAGGGGAAAGGGAAAGGAGAGAAGAGGGAGAGAGGGGAACGTTGGGAAGACGGGGAGAGGAAGGGGAGAGAGAGAGGAAGGGAAAGGGGTTTGAGAAGGAAGGGAGAGTGAGGGAGAGAAGGGGAGAAGAGGGGAAGAAGGGAAAGAGAAGGAAGGGAGAGAGGGAGGGGGAAGATGGGAGAGAGGGAAAGGAGGAGAGAGAAGGAAGGGAGAGATGAGAGGGAGAGAGGGGAGAGTGGAGAGGGGAAAAGAGGTGAGAGTGAGGGGAAAGAGAAGGGAGAGAGAAGGGGAGAAGGGAGGGAAGAAGGGGGAGAGGTAAAGGGGAAAGAGAAGGAAGGGAGAGATGAGAGAGGGGAGAGTGGAGAGGAAAGAGGAGAGAGGTAAAGGGGAACGAGAAGGAAGGGAGAGATGAGAGGCGGAAAAGGGGAGAAGAGGGAAGATAGAGGAGAGAGGTAAAGGGAAAAAGAAGGAAGGGGAGATGAGAGGGAGAGAAGGGGAGAAGAGGGAAGAACGGGAGAGAGGTAAAGGGAAAGAGAAGGAAGGGAGGAGAGGGGAGAGTGGAGAGGGGGGAAGAGGAGAGAGAGAGGTGGGGGATGAGTGGAAGAGGGGAAAGAGGGGGAGAGGGAGAGAGGAAGATTGGGGATAGAGGAAAGGAGAAAGAGAGGGAAGGAAGGGGTGGGGGATGAGTGGAAGAGGGGAGAGGGTAATGACAGAAGAGTGAGTGAGGAGAGGAGGGAAGGAAACAGGGAGATTGAGAGAGAGAAATGGAGAGATGAGTGAGGAGAGAAAGAGGAGAAGGGAAAATGAGAGAGAGAGAAAGACGAAACGGAAGCATGAAGAAGGGGAAAACGGGAGAAAAAGTAAAACCCAACACAAAGAAGAAAAAAAAGAAAAACAACCATAAAAAGAAAAAAAAAAAAAAAAAAAAAAAAAAAAAAAAAAAAAAAAAAAAAAAAAAAAAACGTAGACACACTCATAATTTCCTCATTTGACAAAAAAAAAAAAAAAAAAAAAAAAAACGCGACACGGAAAACACCTCCACCAAATCCAGCAAGATATAGTTATGTGTAATTAGTGTCACCAAAGGTTATTAATGACATGCAATCAAACGAAGTGGGAGAAATGGCCCTTTATCTTTGGCAAATGGAGGCGCCATTAGCAGAATTTTGTGTCTGGAGGAAGAAATCGAGAAATCAATCATGAGTTGTGGCGAGAGGTTGACAGAGAGGCGAGGTGTGTGGTTGTGGTTGTTTGTTTGTGTGTTGTTTGTTTGTGGCTGTATGAGTGTGAGTCTGTGATTGTGTGTGTTGTGTGGTTGCGTGTGTGTTGTGTGTGTGTGTGTGTGTGGTTGTGTTGTGTGTGTGTGTGGTTGTGTGAGTTGTGGTGTGGTGTTTGTTTGTGGTTGTGTGTGTGGTTGTGGTTGTGTGTGTTGTGGTTGTGGAGTGTGTGTGGTGTGTTGTGGTTGTGTGTGTTTTGTGGTTTGTAGTTTTGTGGTTTGTGTGAGTGTGGTTGTGGTTGTTTGTGGTTGTGTGTGTGTGTGGTGTGGTGTGTGTGTGTGTGTTGTGTGTTGTTTGTGTTGTGTGTGTGTGTGGCTGAGGTTGTGGTTTGTGGTTGTGGTTGTGTGTGAGGTGTGAGTGTGTTGTTTGTGGTTGTGTTGTGGTGTGTGTGAGTGTGGTTGTGGTTGTGTGGTTGTGTGGTGTGGTTGTGGTGTTTGTGGTTGTGTGTGTGGTGTGGTTGTGTGTGAGTTTGTGTTGTTGTGGTTGTGGTGAGGTTTGTGTTGTGTGTGGTTATTTGTGTGTTTGTGGTTGTTTGTGTGTGTGTGGTTGTTTGTGGTTGTGTATGTAGTTGTTTGTGGTTGTGTGTGTGGTTGTTGTGGTTGTGTTGTGTTTGTGGTTGTGGTTGTTTGTGGTTGTGTGTCTGTTTGTGGTTGTTTGTGTTGTGTGGTTGTGTGTGTGTGTTTGTTGTGTGTGTGCTTGTTTGTGTGTTTGTGGTTGTGCTTGTGTGTGTGTGTGTGTGTGTGTGTGTGTGTGTGTGTGTTTTGTGGTTTGGTGTGTGTGTGTGTGTGTGTTGTGTGTGTGGGCATATGCATTTGTTTGTGTGAACGTATTTACCTGCGAGAGCGAATGTGTTTGTCTGCGTTCGCTTGTTAAGACAGAGATCAGCTGTTTGTGACGTCATTTAGTCAGTCCTCCACTCAACATGTTTAAACAAGTCGGGGTTCGTAGCGCCTAATTCTGGACTAACAACCATCCTAATTAAGCAACAAAGAAAGAAAAAAACAAAAACAAAAAAATAAACTTTTCCACATTTACACTTTATATCAAAAATTAGCCGAGATAATTTATCAAATATTGCAAAATATCTCACGACCTCCGGCAACTAAAAAATTCCCTTTCATTTTCAGATTTTCCATTTTTTCTCTCTCCTTTTTTCTCCCATTTTCCTTTGATAATAAACGAAACCAAGGAAGAAAATAGGGCACGGATATATATATATATATATATATATATATATATATATAATATATATATATATATATACATAAACATATAAAACCTGAAGCCGAATGACCTAAATATCTTTCCCGCGCGAATGGAAATAACAGCTGACGGTCGGTGACGAGAGGGCGGTTATTTTCACCAGTACTCGGCCGTTACTGTTTTCAAATTTGTGTAACGGATTTGACGAATATGTTTCTTGTTGTTTTTTTAGATAACGATGTGTGTATGAGAGAGAGAGAGGGGGGAGGGGAGGAGGGAGAGAGAGAGGAGGGAAGGGAGGGAGAAAGAGAGGGAGAGGGAGAGAAAAAGGGGAGGAGAGAGAGAGAGAGAGAGAGAGAGAGAGAGAGAGAGAGAGAGAGAGAGAGAGAGAGAGAGAGAGAGAGAGAGAGAGAGAGAGGGAGGGGGGGGGAGGAGGGAGAGAGAAAAAAGGGGAGAGAGAGAGAGAGAGAGAGAAAGATCTATGTTTGTGCGTTCATGTGTATGTGTATATGTACACATATACGTATGCGTGTTTAGTGCGTGCCTACACAAGCATGCATTCCTTTCCAGAGAACAAACCCTATAAGCAAACAGCTGATGCAGATGTTATTATTATTCTTTACGTGTGTGTGTGTTCGCACTTGTGGTTGCAGTTGTTTTAGTGAGACAATTCGCGAATCTGCTTGCGTGTGTGTATGTGTGTGTGTGTGTGTATGTGTGTGTGTGTGTGTGTGTGTGGTGTGTGTTTGTGTGTGTGTGTTGTGTGTGTGTGAGTGCGTTTGTGTGTGTGTGTGTTTGTGTGTTTGTGCGTGTGTGTATGTATGTAAGTGTGTTGTGTGTGTGTGTGTGTGTGTGTGTGTGTGTGTGTGTTGTGTTGTGTGTGTGTGTGTGTGTTTGTGTGTATGTTGTGTGTGTGTGTGTGTGTGTGTGTTTGTGTTGTGTTGTGTCTGTGTGTGTGTCTGTGTGTGTGTGTGTGTGTGTGTGTGTGTGTATGTGTGTGTGCTTGCTCATTAACCAGATCTTGGCAATGGAATAACGTTCATTATCCTTCTGTTCAATCATTCACATCTTCCTTTTAATCTCCAAGAGACATCTGGCAACTCCGAATCAAAGAGAAATGTAAATAAGAAAAAGAAAATCGACGTCGAGAACTTGCCCACAAATAAACGGAGAGAAATAGAGGAATAAACAAGTAAACAAAGAGAAATAGAGGAATAAACAAGTAAACGAAGAGAAATAGAGGAATAAACAAGTAAACAAAGAGAAAAGAGGAATAAACAAGTAAACAAAGAGAAATAGAGGAATAAACAAGTAAACAAAGAGAAATAGAGGAATAAACAAGTAAACAAAGAGAAATAGAGGAATAAACAAATAAACGAAAGAGAAATAGAGGAATAAACAAGTAAACAAAGAGAAATAGAGGAATAAACAAGTAAACAAAGAGAAATAGAGGAATAAACAAATAAGCGAAGAGAAATAGAGGAATAAACAAATAAGCGAAGAGAAATAGAGGAATAAACAAGTAAACAAAGAGAAATAGAGGAATAAACAAGTAAACAAAGAGAAATAGAGGAATAAACAGTAAACAAAGAGAAATAGAGGAATAAACAGTAAACAAAGAGAAATAGAGGAATAAACAAATAACGAAGAGAATAGAGAATAAACAAGAAAAACAGATCAACAAATAAACGGTCTTGAAATGCAGCAGGAAAAAAAATGCACAGAATCACACCTGGGGGGAGCTTAGAGCAGACAGCAAAGAGCAGACAGCAGAGAGCAGACAGCAGAGAGATGACAGCAGAGAGCAGGCAGCAGAGAGAAGACAGCAGAGAGAAGACAAAAGAGAGCAGAGAGAAAGACAGTCGGAAGCAGAGAGAAGACAGCAGACAGTAGAAAGAAGGCAGTAGAGAGCAGGCAGCAGAGAGAAAGACAGCAGAGTGAAGAGAGCAAAGGGCAGACAGCAGAAAGAAGGCACCAGGGACCAACCAGCAAAGACCAGACAGCAGAGATCAGACAACGGAGAGCGAGAGCCGGCGAGGGCAGCAGAGAACAGACAGCAGAGAGCAGGCAGCAGAGAGAAAGACAGCAGACAGAAGAGAGCACAGAACAGCCAGCAGACAGCAAAGAGCAGAGAGAAAGAAACAGCAGGAAGCAACCAGCAAAGACAGACAGAACCAGCAAGACAAGACAGCAGACAGCAAAGACAAGACAGCAGACAGCAAAGACAAGACAGCAGACAGCAAAGAGCAGCAGAGAGAAAGACAGCAGAGTGAAGAGAGCACAGAACAGCCAGCAGAGATAAGACAGCAAAGAGCAGAGAGAAAGACAGCAGGAAGCAACCAGCAAAGACCAGACAGCAGACAGCAAAGACAGACAGCAGACAGCAAAGAGCAGAGAGAAAGACAGCAGGAAGCAACCAGCAAAGACCAGACAGCAACCAGCAGAGACCAGACAGCAAAGACCAGACAGCGGGAGCGAGAGCCGGCGAGGGCAGCAGAGGCGGAACCAGCGCGCCGAAGGACCCGCAGCATCACAATGAGCCGAGGGCGGGTTCTGGGGCGGCCGCGAGAGGGCGTTCGGGCGGGTGACACGAGCGAAATGAATGTTAGCGTTTCCGGGAGACTACGACTGCTGACGGCGACTGCTGACGAAGACACACTTGGAGAGGTTCGTGAGGGCGGTAGGAATGAGGCGGGAGGAGGGTTTCGCTGAGGAGGGAGGAGGAGGGAGGGCGGCGGAGGAGGAGAGGCGGAAGGAGGCTTTTTCTCACACGTTTTACACATTTTGTCTCGTTTTGCACGTTTTTTTGTACAAGTTTCGAATAATTTGTGCGTGAACGTTGTGTGAGCTTATACATATTTGACAATGTTTACGATTTTGTGTGGTTTTAACCGTTTTGCGTAATTGTACACATTTTGCACGTTTTGCGCATTTACCTAATTTACGCATTTTGCAAGATTCACACAATTTACGCGAATTTACACATCCCACACCTTTCTAACACACTTTACACATTTAAAGCATTCTACACAAGTCCATTATACATCACCGGCGAGCAAATTTCGCATTCGGAAAGTTCCTTTGGCGGAGGAAAAGATACGGAGTGATGCATGCGAGGAGAAGGAGGAAGCCGAGAGATGGTTTCGGCGGGCGAGGGAAAGGGAAGAGAAAGCGAAGCGAAGGAATGGAGAATAATGGCTGATAACAGAAAGAGAAGGTGTGAGAGAGAGACAGAGAGCGGGAGAGGGAGAGACAGAGAGATGGAGGGAGGGAGAGAGAGAGACAGATAGACAGACAGACAGACAAAGCGTGAGAGAGAGAGAGACAGATAGACAGACAGACAGACAAAGCGTGAGAGAGAGAGAGAGAGAGAGAGACAGAGACAGAGGGAGAGAGAGAGACTGATAGACAGACAAAGCGTGTGAGAGAGAGAGAGAGAAGAGACAGAAAGACAGAGCGTGAGAGAGAGATACAAGAAAAAGAGAAAGAAAGAGAGAGAGAGCGAATATAATAAAGAATATCAAAACATAAAATTGAAGTTGCTGTGTGAACTTACATCATTAGGCAAATAGATTACAGAAAACTTTGCTTTCAGAGGCAGAACAAAATGGCCCACAGGTTTGCACTTGACAAGACATGGGGTATAAATGCCAATTGTGCCAAATCATTACTCTCTCTCTCTCTCTCTCTCTCTCTCTCTCTCTCTCTCTCTCTCTCTCTCTCTCTCTCTCTCTCTCTCTCTCTCTCTCTCTCTCTCTCTCTCTCTCTCTTCTCTCTCTCTCTCTCTCTCTCTCTCTCTCTCTCTCTCTCTCTCTCTCTCTCTCTCTCTCTCTCTCTCTCTCTCTCTCTCTCGACGTCACTTAAGACTTCTAAACGCGAAAGTCATTCTGTTTTCATCATCTGTTTAAAGTGACACAACAGAGCAGCTGAATGCCAGGGTGCACTTTATTCAAGCAATCACATCAATATTTTGAATAGATATATCTATATCTTTATATCTATCTATCTATCTATCTATCTATCTATCTATCTATCTATCTATCTATCTATCTATCTATCTATCTATCTATCTAATATATATATATATAATATATATATATATATATATATATATATATATATGCGTGTGGTGTGTGTGTGTGTGTGTGTGTAATATATACATATACATATACATATATATATATATATATTATATATAATATAGATAGATAGATAGATAGATAGATAGATAGATAGATAGATAGATAGATAGATAGATAGATAGATAGATAGATATAGATATATATATATATATATATATATATATAATAATATATATATATATATGTATATATATAATATATATATATATATATATATAATATATATATATATATATATATATATATATATATATATATATATATATATATATATATATATATATACATATATATATATATATATATATATATATATATATATATATATATATATATATATGTATATATATACATATGTATGTACGTATCTCTCTCTCGCTCTTTCTCTTTCTCTCTCTCTCTCCCTCTATATAATATATATAATATATTATATATATATATATAATATATATATATTATATATATATATATAATATATTATATATATATATATTATATATATATATATATACATATATATATACATATATATATATATATATATATATATATATATATATATATATATATATATATATACATAAAGCCCCGGCCACACCTCTCGCGAGAGCGAATCGTCGGCCGAATCAGCGTGAGGTCGTAAACCCGCGGAATTTACCGCCTAATCTCTGCCCTTCGAAAACATAAACCTCTTAGCTGAAGTGTGCCGAGAGAAATGAAAAATTATTCCTCCAAGCCCCAACCACATACCGAATGCACGAATATTTGGCCTTCCTGCAATTTATTCGGGTCCGGATACGATAGATTTGGTAGGAGACGCACGAGCTCGAGTTGTCGTCTTTTGTTTTTGAAATGGCGCCATTTTGGGGCGTGTTCGAATGGCCTGTAATTGCGCTTGGATCGGAATTGTTTTTTAGGAATCGTGTGGTGTACTCTCTAAACGTATTTATTTTTCTTTCTGTGTATTTGAGTATTGGAATTTGATGGATGGTATTATCTTAATAGAATTCAAGTGGAAATATGGCAGTAAAATCGTTCGGTGGTCGATATTATATGTTTCTATACTATCTACATCATCTTTTTCCTTTATAAAAAAAAGATTTTGAAAATGACAATACCAAAATTACAATTAAAAAAAATACATCACCCAATAAACATTTACAAAAAACAGGGGAATATGAGAGAAAAGGCATCTAAAAAAAATGAAAGAAACGAACATGAAACAGCCGAAGCGTTCGAACAGTTAGAAACCAATTTGGAAAACGGCGACAGAGAGATCCAGAAGGTTTCTACCGATCTCACCGAGGGATCAAACTACGGCCAACTCATTAAAAGGACCGCCAACTTCATTAATCAGGACTCTGAACCGACATATATTGCGCCGGAAGAAGAAGAGGAAGGAAGAAAAAAAAGGACATTCTATGATAACAAAACAAAATGGCGGTCACTCGTCACTCGCCATTATGGGAGAGAGAATTCCGTAAATTTTGATGACGTTGTAAATGATGACGATGACTGATAGTTGTGATTGTGATGATGATGAAGACAATATGGCTTGGGAAAATAACGGCGATATGTATAAGGATGGTAACAGTAAATATAATAATGATGGGTATAGAGTGATGATGATAGCAATGTCAATATTAAATATAATGATAGTGATAATAGGAAAATGATAATAATAATAAAGATAATAAAGATGATAATCATAATGATGAAAATAATAATAATAATAGTAACAATAATGATAATTATAACGATAATGTAATGATAATGACAATAATAATAAAAATCAACATAATGATAAAGGTAATGATAACTAAACTGACAGTAACAATGACAATGATGATAATGATAATGACAATAATAATAGTAATGATAATGATGATGATAACTAAAACAATACTAATGGCAATATGTTTATGGTGATTGATGATGAAAATAACAAAAAACAATAACAACAATAATAATGACAATGCTTTCCTAATTCTAATTTCGCAAATCATTTTGTTTCGAAGATACCCGTTGTACGTTTAAGAAAAAAAAAAGAAAAATTTCGAAAACCTGATGTCTTTTTTTTCTTTTTTTTCTTTCTAGGAGGGAAAGTTTAATCATTGTTTTGAACTAATTTCATAGTTGTTCGCAAGCACGAAGGCAGAATGGAGGAAGGAGGGGGAGGGGGAGGGGGGGAGAATGGAGGGAGTTGCAAATATGAAATTAGAAAGGAAGGAGAAGAGAGGAAGGAGGAAAAATGAGGGAGGGGGAGAAATAGAGGAGAGAAGAAGGAGGAAGGAGAAGGGAGGAGGGAGATAGAGGAGAGGGAGGAGGAGAATGAGGGGAGGAGGGAGAAATAGAGGAAGAGAGGAGGAGGAGGAAGGAGGAAGGAGGAAGAAATGAGGAGGAGATGAGAGAGAAAGGAGGAAGGATGAGGGAGGAGGGAGAATAGAGGAGAGAGGAAGGAGGGTCGGTAGAGGGGGTGAGAAAAGCAAGCATGAAGCAGAAAGGAGGGGGGGGGAGAGGAGGTTAGTAGTGGTTAGGGGAGAGGTGTAGAGGGGGAGAGGAGAGAGAGCAGATGAGAAGAGAGAGAGAGAGAGAGAGAGAGAGAGAGAGAGACAGAGAGAGAGAGAGAGACAGACAGACAGACAGACAGACAAGAGACAGAGACAGAGACAGACAGAGACAGGAAAGAGAGAGAGAGAGAGACAGAACAGACAGAGACAGAGACAAGCAGAGAGAGAGAGAGAGAAAGGGGGTGGGGAAAGGGCAACCCTACAAGCAGACAGGAAGTAAGGTAAGTAGGAGGGAAGGAAAGGGGGGAGAGAGGGATGATTCGTAGATGGAGGGGATAGAGGGGGGACGGAGTAAATCCTACTAGCAGAAAGGAAGCAGGAGAGAAGGGATAGATTTAAAAAGGGGGGGGGGGGGGAGAGACAAAACCTATCCATCGAGAGATAGACAGAGTAGTAAGGGCTTTGGGGAGGGAGGTAAAGTGGTAGGGGAGGGAGGGAAGGGGGTATGAAGGGTCAGTAGGTGGGGGGAAGAGAGGGGAGGGGAGGGGGGCTTTGGGGAGGGAGAAAAGGGGTAGGGGGGGAGGGATAGGGAATGAAGGGCCTGCAGGTGGGGGAGAAAGAGAGGGGAGGGGAGGGAGAGAAAGGGGTAGGGGAGGGAGGGAAGGGGGGACGAAGGGTCTGTAGGTGGGGGAGAAGAGAGGGGAGGGGAGGGGGCTTGGGTGAGGGAGAGAAAGGGGTAGGGGAGGAGGGAAGGTGGGGACGAAGGGTCTGTAGGTGGGGGAGAAGAGAGGGGAGGGGAGGGGGCTTTGGTGAGGGAGAGAAAGGGTAGGGGAGGGAGGAAGGTGGGGACGAAGGTCCTTAGGTGGGGGAGAGGAGAGGGGAGGGGAGGGGGGGCTTTGGGAGGGAGAGAAGAAAGGGGTAGGGAGGGAGGGAAGGTGGGACGAAGGTGTCTGTAGGTGGGGGAAGAAGGAGGGGAGGGAGGGGGGGCTTTGGGAAGTGGAGTAAAGGGTAGGGGAGAGAGAATTGTG